GGTGGAGGGTGGGGGAGATCTACCATGAAGAAAGATCAGGGAGAAGGGTAAAAATCGGACCTCTACTCACAGAAAACAGTAGATCTTTTCGAAGCTCTAGTACTTCAGATCCATGGCGATCTGTAGGCAGGAGGGTTCCTTGGGGGAGAAGAAGAGGAGATATGGGTGGGAGCAGGTGGAGAGAAGGATGGGGAAAGTAATCAGGGGCAGAGAGGAGGGGGAGCACGTGATTGTGGAGGCAGGGGCAGGTTGGAGGAGAGATCAGGTGACCACCAGTCACATCCTCCCATCACAGCATGGGAACGCGCGTGTAGACATGGGAGATCAGAACTTTCCTTTTTTGCAAGGGGGACCAGAACTTTCCAAATCTGGTAGGTTGACAGGGATCCCTAACGAGCACCCAATTGAGCACCCAGTTGCTGCCTAGACGCATCCTTTGTTTTAAGGGAAACTCCTCTTCCTGCTGTCAAAAGAAACTAGTACTACCTTGGAGGGAAATTGTATTTTCTATTCATTTAGAGCAACTCCAATGGGGCGATCCATTTCGTCCGCCCGAGTCCGTTTGGGTCGGCGCGCACAAAAGTGGCGGTCCAACGCGCCGACCCAAACTCAAATCGTGTCCGCCCGGCGTCCGTGCCGACCCATTTCAGGCCCAAAATTGTGCCTGGAATGAGTCGGCGCGGACGCGCCGCGCATCTCCTCGCCGTCCGCCGCGTCCCCACCTGGCGGCCACCCAACCGCCACGGTCAACATAATTTATGACGACCGCCCACCTTGGGCCCATGCGTCAGCGACGACGGCCGTCCTTTTTTAAGTCGGGCGTGCGGCGGGGCCGTCCTCATCCACTCCCACTCGCCCCTCGTCCCCATCTGGCCACCCCTGCCCCCACGCCGGCGGCAACCCTAGCCACCGCCAGCATGGGTTTCTTCTCCGGCATCGGCAGCAGCCGCAAGGGCAAAGCCCTCGCCCGCCATTCCCCCTCCCTTCCCGCCCTCCCCGCGCCGGCGCGCGCTCCCCTGCAGAGGCAGCCCATCAACGTGCCATTGCACCAGGCCGAGTGGCACTGGCACCACCAGCGCTACTCCTGGACCGGAGTAGTGCGCGAGTGGGTCAACGCTCCGCCGATCTGGCTCGGAGCGAGGGAGAAGCAGGAGGCAGCCTACCTCGACCACTGGCGCCGCGCTCGGCTGGCCGAGGAGCGCCGGGAGGGCGAGCGCCTGCAGATGCTCGAGCGCGAGGCCGAAGAGGAGGCGCGCCAGGCCTAGGCAGCGGCGGCGCAGGCAGCGGCGGCAAAGCCCGACATCACCGCCGTCTGGAACACGACGTTTCCCTGGACCGGCACTGCGCCGACATTGATCGACCTCACCGGTCCCGACGCAGATGCCGCCGCCGACGAGGACGCCTAGGGCAGCGCGTCATCTAGTTTTTAGTGTTTTAATTAATGTAATGTGGACTTTCGCCGACCTTCGTGGCCGGCTTTTATGTTTAATTAAATGCATGTATTTATTTTCAAACTGCTCACAATATTTTTTTTGGCGTGCCGACGAAATGGATCAGGCCAGCGTTGGACGCTCGCGCCGACCCAAACACAGCGCCGGGCGTTTGTGTCCGCCGAGCCGACCCAAACGGACAGAAAAGGACAAATGTGTCATCCGTTTGAGTCGGCCCGTTGGAGTTGCTTTATGGGCTTAAAATGGTCATCTAAGTTTTTGTATTCACCATTGAAAAAAAATGTCTTGGTATTCAAGTGCCGCCCATCCTTGCGCGTCATGTTTGTGCAGCACCCATGTGCGTCGCATCCATTTCACACTCTGACGCTCGGATCTCCTTCCCCCACAAGGCACGAGCGCGATCCTAGCGAAATGACCACACCTACGGATGCAAAGCTCTGCACTCGACGACTCCTCCACCACGTCTGAACAGTCGAGCCATTCACACGCCATCCACAGTGCGGCAGTACGGAAGCTCGTCGATTTTTCTCCTCCGCACACGGCATCGCGCTGCACCACGCCATGGTAGTCGTAGTACTGCGAGTCTGCGTGCAACTCTCGCTCTCTCTACGGAAGTGTTAGGGTGCGTTTGGTTGCAAGGGCGGTTATAAATGGGTTGGGATCGTTCAGAAAATAGACATGTTTGGTTATAAAGCACATGAATGATTCGAGCCAAAAAAGAAGAATATGCCATGAAGATGCTGAACCGTTCCACCCAATCAAATCGGTCGAATCAAATGGCCACCCTTTGCATGCATGACTATGTGAGCATGACTAGTGGTCTCGTCCTAAATAATTAGCTCACCACTTATATTCAGCCAAACACATGAATTGAATGGTTCAATCCCAAAAAAATTGAACGGTCCCAACCCATTCATACGACACCTTCAACCAAACGCATCCGTCCGTCCCATGCTACTATTGCTTGAGCTTCTCTCTCCTCGCCCGACAGAGAAAGGACGGGGCCTTCTCCGACACACGCCCCCCTCCCCGTCTGTCCCCCACTCCACCACCACCACCTTTTCTTTTCTACACTTCCCCACCACCTCCAAGAAAATCACTTCTCCTCGCTCTCTCTCACACACACAGCGCGCCGCGCTCCAAGAACAAGAAGAAGAACCCACTCCAAGTCGTCCAAGGGAGCATGGCGGCAATGGCGGAGGGGGCGGGGGAGCCGGAGCTGGTGTCGATCCCCGTGACGCCGCGGGGTCTGTCCACGCCGGAGGGGATGTCCACGCCGCCGGTTAGGAGGGGAGGGGCAGCGACGAGCGGCGCCGGGACGCCGGTGCGCCGGGTGGTGGAGGGCCTGCGCGGCTACCTGGAGGAGGTGGGCCACCTCACGCGCCTCAACCCGCAGGACGCCTGGCTCCCCATCACCGAGAGCCGCAGCGGCAACGCCAGCTACGCTGCATTCCACTCCCTCAACGCCGGCCTTGGGTTCCAGGCGCTCCTCCTCCCACTCGCCTTCCCCGCCCTCGGATGGTCAGTAACCTCCTGCTCCGCTCCTCACTCGCCATTCTCACATCCTAAACCCCAGCAAGCCCTCAGACTCGAGCATTGTTCGTCGTTCCCCCTTTTCAACTTTCTTGTCCTGGATTCCGTTTTGTACATGTTCTGTTCTAACCTCAGAATCAAACATTGTTTAGGTTGGTCAGATTGGTGGAGGCTTCAAGTTCAGTGCTGAAATTTTACAAAACAAAAGTATTTTCTAGCTTAGATAGATGTTTACTTTCAAGATTGTTGCAGCTTGTATATATGGGAAAGAAAATGTTTACAAGTTTAAACGCATCAGAAACTGTTTAAAGGTGTTATATTAAAAGAATGTGTAATTTAGAAATGTATTTTTCATGGTCTTTTCCTTGATTTTAGATCTTAAGTCCCAAGTGTTGCAAGTATGCAGCTGCCTCTAATAAAGGCATGAGGTGTATTGATAAAGGAAAATCACAAATTACAGTATATAATATTGATACAGTGGACAGTGTGCAAAATATATGTCGTAAACAATATCCTAACATGACACTAGAAGGATAAGTGCATATTCCAATCCTAACATATGCTTCTCTTATACTGTAGGAGCTGGGGAATAATATCATTGACTGGTGCTTACTTCTGGCAACTGTACACACTCTCCATTCTAGTCAAGCTTCACGAAGCAGTCCCGGGCAGGAGGTACAACAGATATGTGGAGCTTGCACAAGCTGCATTTGGTGAGACAAAGACATGCCCTTCGCTATTTTGCAAATTCATGACAATTAACTCTTGATTCCAACCTGGATATATGTGCCAATGTTTGCTGTCAATGATGTGCCATGTTTGGAGTCGTTGTCAATGTTGACGATCTGTTTCATGTAGCTTAACGGAAGAATCTTTTAACATTATTAGCTAGGTGTAGTGTTCAAGCATGGGTAGTGCCGGCTTAATGTACAATCACTCTCATATTTGATCCACATCTGGAACAGTAGAAATGACTGCTTAACGGTTATAGCATATCACTCTCATGCTACAGTGGTGTAAAATGTGGAACTTCCTGCTACCACAGTTACTCCATGATCTTTCTAATCAAACCATTGCAACACCCACTTTCAGTATAACCAATTATTGCCTATTGTTATACCAAGCTGAGTTAGTACATGCAATGCTGTCTAGATTGTCTGCTGCTCTGTTGCTATATTGATGATGACTGGAAATTCGTTTGTAGGACTGAAAAATTAGCTGAGTAACTGATTTCTATCTTGTTTGTTCATTCAGGAGAAAAACTGGGGGTGTGGCTAGCTCTTTTCCCAACTATTTATCTTTCGGCAGGCACTGCAACTGCATTGATCCTTGTCGGAGGGGAGACTATGAAGCTCTTTTACCAAATAGTGTGCGGCCCCCTTTGTACACCGAGCCCTATTTCGACGGTGGAGTGGTACTTGGTATTCACATCCTTGGCAGTCATTCTTTCCCAGCTCCCAAATCTCAACTCGATTGCTGGGCTTTCGCTTATCGGTGGCGCCACAGCGATAATGTACTGCACCATGTCATGGGTTCTCTCTGTGAGCCAGCAACGGCCGGCAGCAGTCTCTTATGAACAAGTGAGATCCACTTCTTTTGGCTCATCACTGTTCTCTACCTTGAATGCTCTTGGGATAATAGCCTTTGCATTCAGGGGACACAATCTTTCATTAGAAATACAGGTTAGTACCACTACTAAACAACCAGTCCTGTTAGACTTTCAGTACTATGTAGTTCCATTTGGTGGCTTCATTTGTTTTATTTAAATTAATTTTACAACTACCAGGCGACGATGCCGTCGACTTTCAAACACCCTGCACATGTGCCTATGTGGCGCGGGGCCAAAGCGGCTTATCTTCTGATTGCGATGTGCATCTTCCCTGTTGCCATTGGGGGTTACTGGGCCTACGGGAACATGGCAAGTACTTCAATCATCTACTCCTCACTCATCATCATCATCCTGTCGCGATGCTTTTCTTTTTTTGCTAACAATCCTTGGTCCTTTTCTGTTGTTCTTTTCCATGCCGGCAGATGCCACCAGGAGGGATCCTGACCGCCCTCTACATCTTCCACGGCCACGACATCTCTCGTGGGCTCCTCGCGGCGACGTTCCTCCTCGTCGTGTTCAACTGCCTTAGCAGCTTCCAGATATACTCCATGCCAGTGTTCGACAGCTTCGAGGCCTTCTACACAGGTCGCACCAACCGGCCCTGCTCAGTCTGGGTCCGGTCCGGATTCAGGATCTTCTACGGGTTCATCTCGCTCTTCATCGGCATCGCTCTGCCGTTCCTCTCCAGCCTCGCCGGCCTTCTGGGCGGCCTAACGCTGCCGGTGACGTTTGCCTACCCGTGCTTCATGTGGATCTGCATCAAGAAGCCTGAGAGGTTCAGCTACAGCTGGTACGTGAACTGGGGCCTCGCCCTGCTCGGCACCGCCTTCAGCTTGGCCTCCTCTGTGGGTGGTGTCTGGAGCATCATTAACACTGGGATGAAGCTCAAGTTCTTCAAGCCCAACTAGCATGTCTACTGTTTTCAGCTTGCAAATTTATGATATATAGGTATATGCTTCTTATATTACATGCCTTGGCAAGACCAATGGCATTAAGTGGTGTCGATCTTATATTAGTAGACTTTGTCTTGGTAAAATGTAAGTATCCCCTGTTGGATAAGAAAAACACGAGCCGATGAAATGATCAAATCTCGCAGTGGCAACCTTATGAAGGTCAAATGTAACTCGAACAATTTATATAATGACTATCTCTGTGGTAATAGTGTATGTACTTTTGTTTCTTTTTCTCAGTTTTGAATTTTTATGGTGGACCAAAAAAAATATATGATCCAATCCCTCTTTGATTTGTAGGATTTGAAAAACGCAGGTTTGCATGTCATTCGCACTTATATCCTCCGTTGCACCACAAAAAGTAAATCAAGACGTTGTGGTGCATTGAAATTTTGGATTCCTAGGATATGTTTAATTGGAGCGAGTCCAATATGAATTTTCTTAAGGAATCCTTTGCATCACATTTGAAAGCAAAATTTCAAAGAAGCACTCAGTCTATAGTTTTAAAAATCTTAAAAAAAATTGGACGTCAATTTTGAATTGAACAACATTAAACAAAATGCAAATACAACCGAGCTTTTATTTTTACAAGGTGAACGTTGTAGACATCACAAAATTATAGTTTCGTGTTAGATTTTATGGGCCTCGACCCAATACAATCCTTAACCTCAGTCCTTGACGGTTAATACACCATTGATCTCAAGATCTGCTATGGGTCGTGGAAGACAGCAGAGAGAGGGGTGGTGCATGAAGGGATCTTGCTGGCGAAGAACATGACACGGTGGTTTACCTAGATTCAGGCCACGAAGATGGATGAAAATCATAAATCCTGCCTAACTATCTTTATTGATCAATGAGAGAATTACAGTGCAGCAGATATAATCTAGAGAGCTAGCTATGGATCCAGAATGACTTGATCCTTGATGGAGGCCGGTCAGTCACTATCCGGAGGACACGATACCAATCGATGATTTCGCCGTTGCGAGGAACATATCTCTCATACTAGCAAAATCCCTGACTTAGCACACTTATCTTTGGCCCCTGTGAGTGCCTACACAGGCGTGGCAGGCCTGAGAGTCGGGAGTCGTTAGACACACTTTTGGGTGACTCGGTCTGGGTACGCTCGTAGGGCATCCTCCTCCGACTACTCAACGATAAGGGCATCTTCAGCCGCGCCCCCACGAAGGCCTTCTCAGACGATTTTTTCGCGCCGGCGCCAAAAAAACGGTCCAGTCGCGCCCTCAGGAGCCTGATTTTCGCTGGCCTGGGCCGAAAACAGCGCCGGCGAACTCAGGCCGAACCTGGCGCGCTGGGGGGCGCCCGGGGGCGCCGGGGCGAACTGTTTTGGCGCGAAACAGCCGCGGGCCCGCCGCGTCAGCGACACGGCGCCTCGTCTTCCCCCAACGGCATCGGTTCCCGCGGGGAATCAATGCCAAGGCTGCCGCCGGTCAGCCTTGCCATTGATTCCTCATGGGCGGCGCATCACGGGACGGCGCGCCGACGCCTCCCCTCCCTCGCACGCGTACACACGGATGCGGCGCGGCTATATAGCCGGTGGCCTGCACTCGCCTGTGCCCACACCAGCCCCGCCCCTCGCCGCCGCCCAGCTCCTCCCTCTCCCTACCTCTCCCGAGCGTCGCCGCCCAGCCCCTCCCTCTATCTCTCTACCTCTCCCGAGCCCGTCGCCATGGCGGAACGCTACCCCGGAGACGAGGCGGCGGCCAACGGCTTCGGCCGCCGTTCGCTCCGCGAACAGGAGTCCTGGCTCCTGTTCCAGGCGAACATCCCGGCGCCGTCGGACATGCGCGCCGGGCCGACGGGGTGGAGGCTCAGCGCCGGGGGAGTGCCCATTCCCCCGTTGCCCGATGCCGTGGCGAAGCTGAATTACTTCGCCGAGGAAGTCGAGGTCGTGCGCGCCTCCCTCACCGACGCCCAACTCTCCCTCCCCCAGTACGCCGCCGACAACCACGCGGCTTGGGCAGCGTATTTCGAGCGCCGCCAGCAGCAGCGCTTGGCGTCCATCAACGGCGCCGGTGACGGCGGAGCTCGACGACGACGACACGGCCCTGGAATGGGCGCGCAGGGACTCCATAGCGATGGAGAAGGAGCGCCTGGAGAAGGCGAAGGAGCGCCAGCGCGCCGCCCTGCATCGCTTCGCGGAGTGTCGACGCGGCCGCGACGAAGGCGGAGTCGTCGTCATCTGCGACAGCGACGACGACGACGACGATGTGCCGCCACCAGTCCGCCATGGCGACGCCGGGCAGGGGTCCAGCAGGGGCGCCCGCGTCAAGGAGGAGAAGGCTGACGACGACGGTGGCGACTTCAACCAGTTTTTCCTTTAGGTTAGTTTATGTATATGTGCTATGTAATGAAAATCCGCGAACTTCGCCGAAATGTGCCGAAATTTATCGTGTTTGGCCGAAATTTATCGTGTTTAAGCCGAACTTTGCCGAACTTCTTTTATTTTAAAACGTGCCTGGGGGCGGCCCTGGGGCCGGCGGCTGGGGACCAACTCGCCCCCAGACCCAATTTTTGCGCCGGCTCACCCCCAGGCGGCGATTTTAGGCGCCCCTTGGGGGGCCAACGGCTGGAGATGCCCTAAACCCCCACCAGTACGTGAAATGAGGCAGTTTGTTATTCGGGAGAGGTGAGTTAGAACATTATCAACTGACTGCTTCTTTGTAAATCCTTTTCCCAACGCCCTAAAAAATCCTTTTCCCAACCATTCATTGGACTAGCAAGGTGAAAGAGACCTCCCTAGCTGCCTACAGCCAGTAATTCTCAAACCCGAGTCCTCTAATCTCAAGAGGCATATCTACTCCTTCACTAGAAGAAAATAACATTAGATTATGGTTGGACAAGTCTCTAATCAAAATTTCCACATTAACAAGGGGAAATAAAGTCCTCAGTCTTGAGATATACAAAATCACAACTTTTTAAATTTTATTCTTTTGGAAATCACAAATTAATTTAAAGAAGAAAAAACTAAAACAGAAATGAGAAAGTAAAAAGAAAAAAGAAAAATTAAAATAGAAAACAGGGCGCTGAAAGTGCGTTATATCGACTAGAGGGGGGGTGAATAGGCGATTTTTATGAAAGTCTTCAAAACGTGAGAGTTATGAAGACAAACAGCGAAGATTACGCCCATTACTATGCAGCGGAAGTTAGATTACACTAGGCCAGCCATGGTCATGTATTCAATAGAGTGAAAGCACAATGACAAACAACTGCAGTGTAATAAGGATCAGGTAGGAAGAAGTTATGAAGCCAAACAGATCATACATTCACGTTGTGAAGACAAAAGATAAAGCAAGCATGCAATGGCTTCACAATATGTAACAGTAAGAAAGGAAGTGAAGATGAAACCAGTGACTCGTTGAAGACAATGATATGTTGGACCAGTTCCAGTTGCTGTGACAACTGTACGTCTGGTTGGAGCGGCTAGGTATTTAAACCTTAGGACACACAGTCCCGGACACCCAGTCCTGAACACACAGTTCAGGACACCAAGTCCTCACCGTATTCTCCTTGAGCTAAGGTCACTTAGTCCTCGCCCAATCACTCTGGTAAGTCTTCAAGGTAGACTCCCAAACCTTCACAAACTTCGTTCACTGGCAATCCACAATGTCTCTTGGATGCTCGACGCCTAACCGTCTGGAGGATTCATAGTCCTCAAGTGTAATAAGTCTTCAGATCACTCAGACAAGAAGACCTAAGTGATGCCCAATTTGCTCTGGCTCTGGGTGGTTAGGGCTTTTCTCCTCACTAGGAATTTTCTCTCAAAGGCTTCGAGGTGGGTTGCTCTCAAACGATAAAAGCCGTGCACTGAAATCTGAGTAGCCAACCGTTTATGGTTGTGGGGGTGGGCTATTTATAGCCACTTGGCAACCCGACCTAATTTGTCCGAAATGACCCTGGGTCACTAAGAAACTGACACGTGTATCAACGGTCAGATTTTAAACTCTCATGGCAACTTTACTTGGGCTACAAGCAAAGCTGACTTGTCCGGCTCTGGACAAGATTCGCTCTCATTGTCTTCACACTCGAAGACATAGGTTTTTTGATTTAGGCATCACTTCAGTCATTCTGACTGGTTCTCCTGGACCCCACTTAACAGTACGGTGGTTCCTATGACTCAGCACAAAAGAAAAAGAACTACGAAAGATCTAAGTCTTCGAGCTCCATATGCTTCATAACATGTCTTCTTTTGTCATAGTCTTCAAAGTGAATATCTTCATGTACCACCTTTGTCTTCAATGTCTTCATACATTTTTAGGGATCATCTGTGGTAGTAAAACCGAATCAATGAGGGACTTCTACCTGTGTTTTCCTGCAATTCTCACAAACACATTAGTCCCTCAACTAGGTTTGTCGTCAATACTCCAAAACCAACTAGGGGTGGCACTAGATGCACTTACAATCTCCCCCTTTTTGGTGATTGATGACAAACTAGTTGAAGTTTTCAACGGGGAATATAATGTGTGAAGTTTGTAAAGGATAGTGAATTATCTTCATAAGTTGCAAAGGCTCCCCCTAAAGATGTGCATATAAGTTAATTTGCTTTTGGGATGCAAATGCATATGGCATGTTGTACTTGTGGAGATCCTCTTCAGCTTATGATGACAATCCACTATGCATGTGAAAGTATATGAAGATAATGACATGCATAATGGAAAATGGATGTCTGCAGAATGAGATAAGTGCGGAATTTATCGTCGCACATGCGGAATTTATCTTCGCAAACAGAGTGGCAAACAAGTAGCAGAGGACCATCAAGTTTTAGTGTTTACAGCTCAAAAAACCAAATGAAGCAAAAACAAGAGTTGTAAACATGAAGCAAAATATAATAAAACATAAGGCACCCGCCCATATTGACCCGCTTGAAGACTATAAACATCATATGCTTCTCCCCCTTTTGTCAGTAATGACCAAAAAGGTTTGAAGACATAGAGTTTGCT